TTGACTTCTGCTGTACAAACAGTACCCTCTTTAGATTGCATAATGGAAAAGCAGGAAAGGAGACAAAATCAAAGCAGATGCAATGGACTAACAGCCTCATGTAAAAAGCCTATAGACTCTGGGATCAAAAGAAATTTTTGTCAAATTTACTTTTAAAGTTTTAAGTCTGCAAAGCTTTAAGTTTGCAAGACAAACACCAGTGGGAGTTAGCATACTAGTGGCCAGTAATAGCATTATTAATGCTTATTCAAAAAATTTCTGGGCTAAGACTTGATATAGAAAGGAGGATTACAATAAGATGGCCAGTGAGGAACATGACTGTACTTTTAAGAGAAATGTTGGGCAGGATCAGTAGGTATAAAATGTTTGTACTTGTGCATGACATACTACTGAAGTTTCCCCTTCCACACAATTAAACCATCTCTAAGCTTTTTGTGAAGCCACATGGACTTCTTATGTTGTCTTCTACCCATTTTCCCTATTGGAATTGTTTGTAATTGTGTCTAGAATTTTCTTTTTTTAAAAATTCCCACCCATCTTCGACTCCTTTTTCATTAGTCACTTGCCGTGGGACTTTGCTTATCATTGTTCTGAGTTTATTAAAATGGGCTTTCCTAAAATCCAGGGTACATTTATCTTTTGCTTCATTTAGAATTAAGAATTCTAGTGTGAAATGGGCCCTTTCCACTCAGGGTTCCTGTAGCTGCCACCTTGTCCACTAGGTTTTCCCTGTTGGTTACTATCAAGTCAAGGATACCGTATTTTTCGCTCTATAAGATGCACTTTTTTCCCCCTCAGAAGTAAGGGGAAATGTCTGTGCGTCTTATAGAGTGAATGTGTGTGTGCCCGATGCCCGGGACACTGCCAGCCCGCCTGCACCACGTGGCACCACCTGGCTGGCACGCGCTCGGCGTGCGCTGCTCCACCCCCCCCTCCGGCGCAGGTGAGAGCTGTGCCGCTCAGGGGGAGCGGTGCGGAGGAGGAGGAGCCGCGGCCTTTAACCCGTTGGCCGCACGGAGAGACGGACTGCTCAACCCCACCACCCTGGAAGACCTGCCGCCGCCATGCCGCCCGGAAGACCACTGCCGGCATGCTGCCAGCCCGGCTGCACCACACCTGGCCGGCACACGCTCGGTGCACCCTGCTCCGCCCCCCTCCTCCGGCACAGGTGAGAGCTGTTAATCACAGGTTGGTGTGTGTTTTCAAATGGCAACCCGTCTTTTAATGAAGCCCATGGGGAAGTGATGGGGAATGTTCCTGTGATTATCAGGAAGCTTTCCATGGATCCCTCCTCTAAAAACTAGGTGCGTCTTATGGTCAGGTGTGTCTTATAGAGCGAAAAATGTGGTAACTGTTCCTCTTGTTCTTTCCTCCACTTACTGCCAGAGGAAGTTATTAGCAAGACAAATCAGGAATCTCTTGGAGGGGCCATGTTTGGCAGAATTTGTCTCTGCCAAACAGATATCAGGGAAACTGAAGTCCCCCGTAATGATGATATCATGCCTCCTTAAAACACTGGCAATTGGCTTTTCAAAAGTTTCATTCTTGTCTTCTCCTTGACGGGGTGGTTGGTAGCAGACTCTAATCACTGTGTTCCTTTTATTCTTTGCTCTATTTATATTAATCCAGATGCTCTCAATGGGGCTACTAAGCTCATCCTCCTCTATTTCTGTCCAGAGATATGTATCTTTAACAAACATTGCAATTCTGCCTCCCTTTCTGTTCCTTCTATTTTTCTTGAACAGGTTATATCCTTCAATTGTTGAATTCCTGTCATGGGAGTCATCCCACCAAGTTTCCGTTCTGCCTATCAGATCGTATTCACTCCCCACTATTAAGAGTTCAGGTTCATGTTGTTTCCCATACTCTGGGCATTAGTGTATATAGACTGAAGACCAAGTGCTCTATACTCTAGCTTTCTTTCTACATTTTTGGAAGACTAATATTGGGCACTGTTGTTTTTCTTTTGTGGTGCATAAGCCTTTGACTGTTCTTAGGCTCAGGTGTACTTCCCCCTTCCATGTAGGATTCAGTTTAAAGCCCTCCTGATAAACTTCTTCATGGTGTGGCCAAACACATTCTTTCCAGGCCTTGTAAGGTGCAACGCATCCCTTGCCAGCAGTCCATCTTCCAGGAAGTATAGTCTGAGGTCCCAGAATCCAAATCTTTCACATTGGCACCAGCTTTGCAGCCAGGCATTTACTTGAAGTATTTTTCTTTCCCTGTCTATTCTTCTTTCAAGAACTGGAAGTACTAAGGTGAAAACTATTTGGTCCCCAAAGTTCTAGACTTTCCTTCCTAAAATTTCAAAGTCTGGCAAAATTTATTCGAAGTTCCACTTGACAGTGTCATTTGTTCCCACATGTATTTGAAGAAAGGGATACATGTATGAGCCCTGGCAGTCTTTCAGTCATATCTCTAATCTGCCCTCCAGAAAGACAATATACCTGAAGAGTCCACAGGTCTTCCTGACATACATGTGTTTCCATCCCACACAACAGGGAGTCTTCAACAGCTACTACTCTTCTTGCAAGCCTTGGTATTATTGCCACTACTTGGTGACCTTTAGCCTCATGTTCAGTGTTGCATGGGATGATTTTCAGTTCTTCCATAGCAGGCTGTCCTCCAATCTCATCCTCAAGTAACTGAGAATGGTTTAGGAGTTCCACTGCTTCCGCTGGTGCAAAGTGTTTCCTAGTTCTTCTGCACCTGTCACCCTTTTCCTCCTCATGTTCTGTGCCTTCAGGATTCTTCTCAACTTACTGTTACACTTCTAGCTTCTGTACTGTTCTGCTTCTAGCTACACTTCTAGCTTCTCTACTGAACTGTTACAGTTCCACCACTCTGCCTAAAAACTCTTCATCTTCTTTTATTACATTTTGGTTGGACACTTGCTGCTCTAGTGCTTTCACCTTTTCTTCTAACAGAGCTACTAGTGTGCACTTCTTACATGTGTAGGCCATGTTGCCCTCTGGCAAGAAAATAAACATAATACAGACATGGCTGGTCACCACTACTGGGAGGTCTTCTCAGTCCATTCTTTCTGCTACCTTTTTGATTCTAGCTTGCTGGGTCTGTTGTAACAACCCGTGCTTCCTCCTGTCTTTCTTGAAAGTTAACAATATAGTCCTACGAGTAAATGGGAGTGTGTTACAAGGAAGAAAACAAAGGGAGGAAAAACTAAGGGAGAAAAGAAAAAGGTTAAGGACCTCCCCCACTGAACTCCACCACCAAACTCCTGTTTGCTCTCCCTGGTCACTTGTTCTTTGGGAACTTGCCTGCTTGTACCTCAGAGATCCTAGACCAGCTGGCTGCTTCCTCTGATCTGCTCAGCTAGGAGTCAGGAACTAGAACTAAATCTTTTTGAGGTTCTGAGTTGGTGATTTTGTGGATATTTTAATAGATTTAACAGCATCTATAAATGACTGTAGCTGAGAAGTGAAACTGTTCTTGCCACTAGGTGGCATAGCAGCTTTACTTTGCTATTGAACTGAAGATATCCTGAGGAATACAAAGGGTATTTCCAGAAGAAGCTTTCCTAGCAGCATCACTGTGCTTCATCCTCATTCCCAGAATTTACAGGGCAGTTATGTGGAATAGTTGCCTACACATAACCTTCCTGTGTTTTTCTGCTGCTTCACTAGTCTCTGTTCTTACAGCAAGGTAGATCAGATTACTGCACATGGCCCACTAACTTTTAATGCTAGGAGACCTCAGTCTAAAAGCAGCCATGATTTTAATATGTTCCATTGGGCAGCTGGTTAACATGAGAAGCCCCTGGGTTTGAAACTGCATAGTGTCAGACTGACTGTTACTTCCATCATATGTGTATCAGATAATGTTGATAGTTGCTGCACAACTATTGTCATAAGGCTGTTATATGATATCATTCTTAGCCAAGTGGGATATATGAGTAATGCATTAAAAACAACTGATAGTCAGACATATTAAAACAAGCTAAATGAATAACCACATCCCTCTGACTCATGCATGATGCTGAATTTTCAGGAAAGAGACAAAAGGATTTGTCTGACTGCTGTTCTTCCTTTAACATTGTCTCCCATTGTTTTCAGACTGTTTTGGTTTTGAGGGTTTAATTTAAACTGGTTTAAAGACGATTTTATTCCAGGTATTGTAGTGTGCTTCGGCAATACATTTCTTACTCCAGAGCAACTTTTAATTATGAAATGTGACTCTGAAAATGCTCATTTCATTAAGGCTCAATGGGCAAATAAAATTACATGCACTATTTATTGATTGATATACTGCATTTGCCACATGTCCTACTTTATTTAGAGAGGGCAAGTTTTCTTTGAAGGTCTCCTCAGTCCAAGTCCAGCTTAAAGTGCAATCCTATACTTATGTGCTTAGAAGTAACCTTTTTAGTTACCCAGCATTTAAAAGCTTAAATCACATAAAACACTGGTCAGATAACTTGCACCTAACTAAATAATAAAAATTCAGATCATCTGCTGCATTGAGGCTGAGTTACATAAACACTGAGATTTCCTGTCCTAATGGATACATTTTTAAAGAATCAAATTTCTGCAATACTTTTAAATGTACACAACAGTTCAATGGTGTCCATATAATTTATTTTTAAAGTACTGACTACATCTGTTCTGAGGTAAAGTCTCAAAAATTGTTCTCAAGAGTCCATGTAAACTCAGCAATACCATATAGACCATGTATAAGGGCTAAGATTTCATTTTAAAGACTAAACAGCCTGGGCATTTGAACCAAAGCGCGGGGCCCTTAGCGAAATCTTCGCACTTTGACTTCAACATCTTCCTCTGCTAGTAATTGCCGAGAGGAAGCCGCCTTGGTGCCCACATCCAAGATGGCCTCTAAAGAAAGGCAGGCAGTATCAAAAATGGCCGCCACGTAGGCGTTGCTTGACGCTCCTGTAGGAAGACGAGCTCGCGGCAAGTACGGCTGCGCACGGCTGATAACGAAGAGAGCGAAGTCGGATTGGAGAGACAGGTACTGTTGGTGGTAGGGGCTCTCGGTTATTTCCCCCGCTGCTTTCCTTTGTATGACGATCTGTCCATAAAAGAGCTTTATTCGAATCCTTCTCTTCCCCCCACCCTCCCTGTAGAATGGTATTTCCCATTCATTCTATTTTAATTGCCTGTGCTATAGTGGTTTTCCTCGGCAGATGTTCTAGAACGAATGTCTGCCGATGGACGGTTTTAGAGGAACCGTTAGCTGCCTTGGGTCCGCGGCGCCCACTGCCGCTAAAGTTTCATTCCCCTTAGTGAGGTTCCCACTCTTGAGGTATTTGTGCGTTCCCTTCGGTAGCTGCCTGCTTTCCTAAAGAGTGGGATCGAAGAATCATTTCCTCTCTGCTCTTTGCACGCCTAATAAATAGCAGTGCAGTCCTGTGCAGGTCTACTCAGAAGTAAGCCCCACTGTGTTCAATGAAGCTTACTGTCACGGTAAGTGGGTATAGGATTGCAGCTTAAGCTCGTTAAGCCTTGAAGAATGCCACGGTGGGTTGGGTGGGTGTTGGTGAGGGGCTGGTGTACACATGCCTTTAGCAACTGATACAAAGTATTCATAGTAATTTCTTCTTCCCAAAGGCCGCCCCCCCCCTTCTTAGCTTTTGTACGAACAGGCTTTGAAAGTGAAGTTCCCTTCCCTTGACAACTCAATGTGTAATTCCCAGTAGTCTTAGAAAGATAATGTTGAAGCCGCTAAATGCAGATAGAATTTCCAGTTGTTTCCGCCTTAAAAGCTCGGTAGCAGTGGATATTGCAATCCCGTGCATGGTTTACTTAGAAGTAAACTCTATGGAGTTCAATGGGACTTACTTCCAGAAAAATGTGCAAGGGATTGTTTTGTGGGCAGTTAGCACCCTCAGCCAAGTTGGTCAGTAAGAGCAAAATCCCTTTCAGACAGAGCTTTTATTTTGAACAATCAAATATGTACAAAAATTGTGGGTATGCTTGACAAACTGTTACAAAACAGTATGGGGGGTGGGGGAGAAGTTGTGAAGGGCAGGTACACAGAATCTTTTCTATTTATTTATTTGCATTTCTATACCACCCCACAGCCAAAGCACTTTGGGCTGTTTACTACACTGCTGAAAACAATAATCCAAAGTTTTATTTTGTTTTTACTTTTCTGTTCTCTTTATTATGAAGAAAAAGCATTGTATTGGGTGGTCATTTGTATTGCAGCCAAGAAAGAAGTAAAAAAAGACCAAATCAAAACCTACTTAAGGAAGAATGGAGGAAGAGTTGCTTACAAAGAGTAGACTGTATTAGGTGGCATGCAGATTTCAGGATACACCAAGGACTTGTCCAGGCAAAGTTATATTGGCTGATTCTTCAAATTTTGAAAATAGCAAATCCAGTAGCCACTTGGATTTGTCTCCAAGTTTAGCCAAAAACACATCAGTATGCTGGTATTTAGCCCACTTCTGAATGCCTAAATATGGTGTTTTCCAGGGTAAACCTCAAACAAAGTAAACTGTGCTTATGTATAAGAAAAATGTGAAAACCCACACTCAAGCAGTACCTATTTTAGGACTGAACAAATATGTGAACATGGTTACTATTATCTCTCCTATTTATTTTATAGCTCCCAAACTAGGCCCAGTATAAGGAAATTGGAAATACCTTATTATTTATACAGTGTCATCACTGAACAGGGTTCTCTATTATCCAGACAAAAATGAACGGGTCCCTGCTTCCAAGTAGTTTACAGTCTAAAAGAGGTACCATGGAAAATGAGCTAGCAATATTTCAATTCTTTTCAGGAAAATTCTTAATGCTTCATTCAGGTTCCAAAAGAGGCTAGATAGTAGACATTCAAACAAATGACATAAAAGACTGTATTCATTAAGTTCAATAAACCCATGAATCTTCTGGGACAAAGTTTGGTTTTCTAGATAACTCAAACTGCTAAACATCTTTCTTTTTAGCTAAATTGTAGCTAAGAATAGTTTGATTCTTAGTAATGACTCAGGCGGGATTTTAACTAATAGATGTGTAGGTGGAAAAGGCTTCCTAAAGTAGTAGTCAAAGCTGTGACTTGACTTACTTGTATGAGGAAATGGTTTCACATGCATTTAAACAAGTTAGGTAACATTGCTGAGACATAAGGGAATCTTTTGTCTTCCTTCAGTGGAAACAGCTTAGTAAATCCTGGGATAGTTTCCAATCTGCAGTGGTGGTAACATATGAATAGTTATCATTGCTGGGCAATTTGGTATGTGAAAAGCAAGTTATCCATGGAAAATCCTTTAAACAAATTTGAAAAATTACTGTAAAGCCTTTTTCTGCCATTAATGCAACTTTGGACACTGATTTCTAATTCACATATTATTGTTTTTAAAAGCAACTTTAATAATCTTGTTATTATAGTCATAACATTCTTTGTGAATGTTTTCAAGATTATGTGCCCACCTCTGAATACCCAAGTTGCCATGCAGTACAAGAATTGGCCTCTTACCATTTTGTTAGTGATGTGAACTGCTAATATCTTTAAGTTATGGCAGTGACTGTATCCAAGTCCCATTGTATCCATTTCCCCTATGTTCATCCCTCAGTGTGTCTTCCCTGCAAGGTGCCATAACTTGGTTATTTCATTTTCATGGACTTTTAGGCGCACCAAGGGTTGCTGAAATGAGAATCAAAAATAACAACTCTGTGTGTGTATGTGCACATGAGCAGTGTGCTTATCATTCTGGAAGCAGTACATGGTTTAGATCCCTCCTGCTCAACTGGCTGGAATTTAGAAGTTAAGTGGATGGAAGTGGTGGTGCATTTTATTGCTTTCTGAGAAATATGGTAGACATGTAGTGCGACTTACATTATTTTTGGTGGAGGAGCTCAAATATAGACATAATTTCAATTGAATGGATTGAAACATGAAGATTAGTGTATAAAACCAAATCATTCCACTTAAACAAAATGAAAGGTATTTAATATCTCTTGGTATCTGGTTCTATCATAGCTGCATGCCAGCTATGATAGAACATATTGATGTCTTGAAATATATAAATATATTTCATTATTACCAAGCTTCTCTTAACGAATCACTTTGTTAATACTAAATGTCATACAGGTAATTGGCAAAGTAATTAGTTTAAGTGATCTATTCTGTAATATGTAACTGTATAATGTGTTCTAAAATTAATAACATCAAACTAACAAATGCAGACTAAAATTTTCTTTCTACATAGTGTTAATACTCTATTATTTGTAGATCAACATGGTTCAATAGTCAGACTTGTACAGTTGCTTAGGAAACATAAAAATGTCACTGGGAAACTTTGTTTAAATCAGTAATTTAAATCAGCCTATCATTTTTTCTTCCTGGATTTAAATAATTGCCTTAAATTGCCTTTTTTAAAAGCAGTTTTCTGGGTAATGTTGAGACATATTTCTGGAATCTCATTTTCCCAACTTCTGATCATGTTGGGAAATAATGATGTACAAACCACATGTTGGTTTAGTTTCTCTTAGAATGGGTAAGGGCAAAAGGGCTACTTCACTTGCTTTTAAAGAAATCTATACATTATTCCTTTAGAGGTGCCTCATTACCCTTCACTGTCTTCTTATAGAAACCATTGATACCAGCTTCCTTAAACTCTGTTATTTTCTAAGACATACAAATGAGGCTACCTTCTGGCTTCAAAAGCTGTAAACTTAAGGTGTTACATGGTTGCTTCCAATGTTAGGAAAATTATTTTTTCTAAACTAAACTATCCAGGATATAGCTGGTTTCTGCAAGTGTTGTCTCCATATAGATCTGTAAGTCATGCTTCACTGTGGAGCTCCTGTCTAGAGTTATAGATACTGCTAATCTGGATCTCAAACAGGCAGTAAAGTACAGTATAAAGAGTAAGCACTTCTCTCAGTGAACAGCACTACCTTGGAAGGCTCTTGGTATGCTCTGAAGGCTGTTGACAAATGATGAGTTGGCTTAGCAAGCATACTTTGCCAGTGTAAGACACATTTAACCTTTAAATCCTATCATAAATCCCCTTTAAAACCGTGGAGTGAAACTGTCTACATTTGGATTTCTTATTGCAGGCTGAATGGATATGGAGAAGACAGGGGGAGTACATCAGATCTAGAAACTGAACTGCTTCACTTTGTCAATTTAAACAGGGGAAATGAGGGTTTGGTTCCAAGGCCAAGCTAGCAAGCACTGGAGTGAAAGTCCTTCTTGGAAGTGGAGGTGATGTGAGCAGCCCAAGGCCTCTGAGTGAACCACCATGGGGTTCAGGCTATTAGCATGTCTCCTCAAGCTACCAGTGGCAGTGGTTTATGGATCCTTATCACTCTTTGTTTCTATTTTGCACAACGTGTTTCTCCTCTACTATGTGGACACCTTTGTTTCCATATATAAGATCGATAAACTTTCATTCTGGATTGGGGAGGTAAGTTTTGAACTTTGAGAATCTAAATTTGTCCTTCCTGCTTTGTGAGACCTACACAGTTTTAGAATCCACCAAGAGGCTAATAGAATAATTAAGATACGCATTTCATAGATAAGAGTCCACTTCATTAGATTTGTGAAATGTTATGCTCAGTTGACTGAACTGTCTGTGTACATGTGTGCATACACACACACATGCACTCACATGGATATAGAGGGAAAGCCTAACAGTGGACAATGAAGCTAATTAGCAATAACTTGCAAGATACACTTGCACTTACAATCTACTTTTGCCCTCCCTGCAGTTGCTGCCCCCTCCTCAGCAGGTGCCAACATAAGGGGGAAATGTAAACCAAATTAAAACAAAATGGTACCTATAGCTTCCATGGAGTACATGAAGGGCAAAAATGAGCTTGCACACTTTTCTAGATGCCATTTTATTTGCATCTCTCATTTTTTAATCCTCCTGAAATTGGAGGAGGAATCACGGGGGCACTGCATCTAGCCTACAAGTCACATGTTGCTTGTCCCTGGTATAAGTGGTTCTTTCAGTTATTGCTTCTTTAATCTGAATATAGTTGGCTAGGAAACAGTTTATGTAAGGTAACCATGTTAGTTTAGTACAGCAAAAACAACCAAAGAGTCTTACAGCACAGTAGAGAGTAACAGAATTATTATGTCAAGAGCATGATTAGTCTGTGACAGGAAATGAATGTTGATATTCTGAATATTCTGACTGAATAGTCTTGTTCTCCCCCACACCCTCCTCCAATTTATAGACTGTATTTCTGATCTGGAACAGCCTCAATGATCCTCTGTTTGGTTGGCTGAGTGACCGAGTATTCCTTAGCACACAACAGTAAGCGGAGTTTCTTTTATGGTGCATGTCAAAGGTCAAATAAGCTTAACTGCTATGAAGGGAAGGGCAATCTCATTGAAGTTGCATGCCAAAAAGTAATTTATAATTAAAATGAGCCTCTTTCTTTGAGCGTGAGAGCCTGTGTAATATGGTTGCTAAGAGTGCTGTTCTGGAAAACAGGAGATCCAGGTTCTAGGCCCCCACTCAGTAATGAAGCTCACTGGGTGGATCTGGGCCCATCACAGCCTCTCAGCCTAACCTTCTGCACAGGGTTGCAAGCTTCTTGGATTCTTTGCAAGAGGAAGAAAGGCAGGATACAAATGCAATGTACTAACAATGGTGATGATGTATGACTGTCATTAGATTCTCACTACTTTTTACTACAATGGGTGTTCAGAAGGTTACAGGCATTAATTTGAGTGCAGGAGAAACATGGAGGTGAGGTTTACTTCCATGCTCTCCTTCCCCTCAAAAACATTTAGACAGACAGTTTTGGTCATCTAAATTTTTTCCCATCCTCCTCAGGTGAAGAGGGGCTAAAAAACTGTCTGGATTTGGTGGAAGCTAGTGGTGCCTCAGCCCTCTCCTCTCCAGTCCCTGCTCTCTCGAATACTTCCCTGCAGCACCTCTCTCAAATATGGTCGTCCATCTTAGGGGCCTCAACCAGCATGGGAAGAACAGTGCTGCCTGATAGGACACAGGGAGGGCTCCCAGGCACAGTTGGCACTGCAACCTCAGAAGGCTTTTTGGAGATCACAGTGGGGGCTCCACCTTTTCTAGTGGCTGACCAAACAGCAGCTACTGACTAGAGTATTGTGCCCTTAATTATACATGCAGGGTGCATCCAGATTAACCCTCTTGATGCATTTAATCTCATTACTTTCTCCCTGTCGGTTAAGTATTTCCTGCACAGATCCACTTCCTCCTCTTAAAAATGTTGGCAGCTTGTTTTGTTCTTTAATGCTGAATTTATACATTACAGCCTGTACAAGAAATGTAGGGAATATACTTAGAAGCACACCTTGAACATTAAAAAGTGGGTTGAATAACAGCATGAAAAGTTTCTGTTCAGAGTAACCAGCTTACCCTCATGTATGATATTCCATTCCATCTCACCAACAGGCAGGATGCTGTGGCTTCTGAGTATGCTCAGATTCTATTGGCTGTTTGAGTCCTTCCCACTGCCTAGATTTTTTCTTAAATGTTTGTGGCTTTGCGCATCTGCAAACTTCTGGATTCCTCCAAAGCCAGCTGCTGCCCACCTCTTGCATGTGGATAGTGTCTACATACGAATCCACATTTGGAGAATGACTTCACTATTAGTATTTTGGATGGAAAAGAGGGACAATGGACAAAAAGTTGGTACTATGTTCAAAGGCTGAGTGTGAGCCTTCTTGCTGGACTGGTTGTCAGAAGGCATTTCATCCTTAATAAGGTACAAGCTTTCAGGTAAAGAAATAATTAAATGAATTCAGGAAGCAAAGAGTATGAACACCGACGAATGAGGTAGCAGAAAGGAAAGTGCAAAGCTGGAAAAGTATCATGGAACTGGCAAGGAGAAAAGCAGTAAGGTGGTGTGTAACTTGATTTTGTTGCATGAAACTCAACAAATTTTCACAGGCCAGCTCTTTCTTCCTTCATAGGTCTGGAGTGGAGATATCCACTCCTGAAGTTGTTTTGAAGAGACTCAGGGCACTGAGCCAGAATGGCCCCCTCTTTGCAATGTCATTCTTGGCTTTCTGGATTGCATGGGCGCCCCCAGGCTTACAGTTCCTCATCTGTCTCTGCCTGTATGACAGCTTCCTCACCATGGTAGATCTTAACCAGAATGCCTTGCTCGCCGACCTTGCTGTGTCTGCAAAGGACCGGACTGGCCTCAACTTCTACTCTTCACTCTTCAGTGCCATTGGCTCCTTCTCAGTCTTCACATCCTATGCTGTGTGGAACAAGGAGGACTTTTTCTCCTTCCGGATATTTTGTGTGGTTCTGGCTTGCTGCTCAGCTGCGGGGTTTAGCATGGCCACATGGCTGCTGAAGCAGCGGTTTCAGACTGAGGGGCAAGTGAGGTGGGATGACAATGCTGCTTTAAAAGAGTGAGTGAATAATTCCTGTCTGCTACTTTAAATATACTGGTCAATATGCAACAGGTGTCTCTTTCAGACAGACACCTCTACATGTTTTTAGATACCAGTTGCTAGGAAACATAAGCAGGAGTAGGGTCTCATGCTCATGTTCTGTTTGTGGACTTCCCACAGGCAGCTGGTGAGCCACTGTGACAACAGAATGAACTGCCCAAACAGCTTCCCCTCTTGGGTAGTATAGTAGCAAATAACAGTAACAGAATGATGGTCTAGAATTTACCCTTGGTCTGACCCAGCATGGCTCTGCTTGTCTTACACCAGCCGCTTCTCAACCTGCTCCAGGGCTGCCTTCCTCTCTGATGGGCTTGCTGGCTGAATAAAGGGAGTTAAAGTGCATCACAGCTGGATGGCTCATGGTTGGAGAAGGCTGCTCCAGAGTTTCGACTGCTTTATGAAACCAGGTGCAAAATTCTTAAAGCAGAATTTTCCCAACATACCACCCTCCAGACATTTTGGACTTCATCTCCCGTCATCGCTCACCACTAGCTGTGCTGGCTGGGCTGATTAGAGTTGTCATTGAAAACATCTGGAGGGCATTAGGTTGGGAAAGGCTGGTTTTGGGAGACTCGTTTGTGAAGAATGTGTGTGTGCATGCATCTTGCATTCATTTGTACACTTCCTTCCAAGGTAAGGCTGCCTTGGGACTTTTTCCTATTATCCTCTCAAAATCTCTAAGGAAGATTAGATTAAGACAATGGCATGTCCAAGAATACTTTGTGATCCCTAAGTCAAGTCTTAGTCCATTACACTACCCTGGCTAAATGTAGCCATTTGTTCTTTAGACTGTGTATCAACCGTCCCTCAGGGCAGCAACAGAAGAGGATCACTCTGGCTGATTACCTCAAACAGCTCTCCAGGCATCGTAACTTTCTCTGGTTTGTCTCAATGAATTTGATACAGGTAGGTGCAGCATGGATTCTCTGTAGTTCAACATTTTTAAGTGCTGTATGGGAATCTACCTTCCTACCACTGACACTTCACCCAGTAGGGTCTAGATGACCTCCCACATGATCAGATAAGTCTCTTTCTCTTTGTCCTGAGATTAACTTCCTGCCCACAGTACTCAGTAAATGTTTGGTAAGGTGTGGATTAGGAGGTAATGGTGTGATAAAATGCAGTTTTACTGAACTGGCACAAACAGTTCTCCTTTAGCTAATTGAACTAGCACAAGAACCTACTATGTAAAAAGAGCATGATAGTCTGTTGGCCTAAAATCCATATTTGAAGAACTGTCTTCCCTTATTTATTTGGAGGAGGAGATGTAAGCTGCCTTGAGCCCTTTGTAGGAAAAAGGCAGGATATAAATCGAAAAATAAATAAAATAAAAAAATATAAACCCCATGAAGCTGCTTGTGCCCTGATAGCTTATGTATGTATCTGGAATCATGTTTGTGCAGTTCGAATTAATACATTTATTCTTTTAACTGCCTTTTACAGATGTCTCACAAATGTTGTCTTTCACAGGTTTTTCACTGCCACTTTAACAGCAACTTCTTCCCTCTCTTCTTGGAACATCTACTGTCTGATCATATCTCACTGTCTGTGGGTTCATTTTTGCTAGGTGAGTCCAAGGTTGGAAAAAGAGGATACATTGCTCAGTACTGGAGTCTCCAAATTGACTAGTGCAATCATGCCACTCTTTTGTGAAGAAGAATGACAGACAGATGTGGCGCTAGTACTGCCAAGTTTCTGGGGAGGGATTGACAGTTAAAGCTGTTGCAGGATTCCATAGATTGTCTCATTTTTTTTATTAAATCAGGCAAAGAGATCAGGATGGGCTTACAGCTTTTGTCAACAGCCACCATCTCTATAATTTACTCTCTCTGTTCCCAGAGTATAGGGTAGCATTGCAGTTACTGAAAAGTAGGACTATATGTATTCTGTGTCAAATTTGATTGCTTTATTAAAACAATTAAAATTTAATTGGAACCTACAAAATGTTACAATGTGAAGTGCTTCTGATAGCCAGCCATGCCTTCATCTGGGCTGCTCCATTACATTCTGCTTCTACCTCCATTCTATTCTGCTTTTCTCTGTGGTGGCGCCCAATCTATGGAATGTGCTCCCCAGAGAGGTCTGCCTGGCGCCGCTGTCATTTGTTTTTTTGCGCCAGGTGAAGACCTTTTTATTTAAATGTCATTTTAATTGTTAACAATATTTATTTATTTATCTGGCCAGGGCGACTTCTTTTCTTTTCTTTTATAACTTCTTTTATATCTTTTATATTTTTTATTTATTTTATATTAATTTTAATTTTATATTGTTATTTTTGTATTGTATTGTATTTTATTGTGTTGTAAGCTGCCCCGAGGCTTCGGCAAGGGGCGGCATAGAAATGTTCTAATAATAATAATAATAATAATACCTTTGTTTCCCATTTTCTTTACCAGAGTCAATCAACATTTTGTGTCATACATATCCAATATGGATATTGGACTGCCTGGTCTGAGTGCATGGGTGGGGGCAAGGAGGGCTGCAGGTGGCAATGTGTGTCTTCACTCCTCTTAAGGTTTTTTCTAAATATTTTTGTACATTCACATATCTTGTCCCCCCCCCCAAGCCACCTGATAGCTTTCATTTTTGCATGAATGGTAGTGTTTTGGCAGACTAAGGATGCACCCTCAGAGAATGACCTGGTTTGCATGCAATCTCAGTTGAGGGTTAATTAACCTACAAATTGCTGATGAAACCTAGTGAGAAGGAGTATGCTGCCTCTGGTATGCTTGTCACTTCTTTCAATTAAGAGCCCAGAATCACCCCATTCATAGGTTGCTAGTACAACAACAACCCAGACCTAATCCATGGTTTCTTTGCTCCTACTCTTGGGCTATTTAATTCATGATTGCCATTATGTGCAAACCAGTCAGTGTGTGTGCTGTTAGTATATAGGATCCTGAGAATGTCAGGAATGGGCTATGGTAGGCTTCTGCATATGCCACTTGTTCAAAGTTGTTGCTATCACTTCATTATTTCCAGCTACAAAGAGATACCAGCTTAATACAAACTGGAGCTAAGTTGAAATGGTTTTATTTGACATTTATTTAACATAGCATTTTTCCAGTCTTGCTGACTCTTGAAAAAACAGTACAGTAGTCCCCCGAAATTTGTGGGGGTTATGTTCCTAAAGTACCCACACATTGTGAAAAACCGCGAATTTGGTGCCGGTGGTGGGCGCTGGCCGCCAAGGCGGTGCAGGCAGGAGGCACGGGCTGGGGGGGTGGGTGCACATGCATAGCGAGGCACAGGCAGGGGCGCACGGGCAGGGGTACATGCGTGCAGAGATCGTTTTCTCCGAGCAAGTCCAAACTCGGAGGAAACAATCTCCTTGTGAGTAAGCTGCCACATGGCAAAGCGCCAGCTTACTTGCAAGGAGATCGGCTAGGACTCGCTTGGAGAAAAATCCCGTGAAAGACTGAAGCCACGAACACTGAACCGCAACCTCAGGGGGATATACTGTATATCCAAGAGAACAGAACCTCTTAGACACACCCTTTAACGTGGTGAGGGGATCTGAGTGTGTCAGTGAACCCAACAGCAGTGCCTCCAGGAGGATTCTTTCATTAGTTTTTTTTCCTAGCAGGGACATCCAAGGCAGAATTGTCAAAGCTGAGATAACAGACTAAGATGCATCTACTCTCTTCAGGAGTAATGGTCACATCAGCAGAAGAGAATGATTATCTCCAGTTGTGATGGGGCAGAAATATTCCTGCTAATGGGCAGCAGTGATAGTTGAAGGCAACACTGGCAAAGGATTTTTGCAGACAAGCGCAGTGATACTCAGGCTAACTCTGGTTAGTGCTGCATAAAAGAAGGCAATGGCAAACCACTTCTATTTCTTACCTTAAAAACTCTGGTGGCATAATCCAAAATGTGAAACAAGAGATAGTGCCAGAAGATGAGGCCCCCAGATGGAAGGTACTCAACCAGCTGGGGTTAAGGACTGCTGTATGTTTTGTCCTCTTTGACCCTCTTTGACTTTCTCCTCAGGTGTTTCCTATGTGGCTCCTCATCTCAACAACCTCTACTTCCTCTCCCTCTGCCAGAGGTGGGGTGTGTATGCTGTGGTGCGAGGACTCTTCTTCCTTAAGCTGTTGCTTAGTGTGATTATGCTCCTTGCTGGACCAGATTGGGTCTGTCTGCTCTGTTTCTTCATAGCAAGGTACTCTACTTGCAGTGGTGTTGGGTGTGGACAATGGGCTTTGCAAATTGCATTGAGCTGCTTGACTTAGCATCAGTGTCACAGAGCTGAAGCTAGAATCCAGAGTTTTGGTTGCATGCTTCCCTATTTGTCTCTTCTTGGAATATGCTAACCCTTGCTAAAGATTTGTCAGCCAGGTGGTACCTGAGTGAGAATTTCCGTAAAAAGGCAAGACCTTTTCCACTTGCTTCTGTGTTCCTCCTTGTGGTTCTTACCCTGTGTAGGTAAACGATCTTTCCCAACTTGGTCCACTCAAAATACATTGAACTATAACTCCCATTATCCCTAGCCATTGTGGCAGATTAGCATGAAGTTGGGGAAGGCTGATGTTGCATGGCTGGTCTTTATCTATTGTATTAATTAACTGGGTTTCTCATACTGAGTCATTATTTATTTGCAAATCCTCCAAGAGTTTGTGTCCACATGTCTGAGCCAGCTTATCTCCCGCTCTTCACTTTTCTTCCTGCTCAGTAACCGTGTGTTCACTGAAGGGACATGCAAGCTGCTGAACCTGGTGGTCACTGACCTGGTGGATGAAGATTTGGTGTTGAATCGGAGGCAGCAGGCTGCCTCAGCCCTCTTATTTGGCATGGTTGCTTTGGTAACCAAACCGGGCCAGACCTTTGCTCCTTTGATTGGCACCTGGCTGCTGTGCACTTACACTGGTAGGTAATGGGCAATAGAAAGGAACTTGAGATAATAGTAATTGCCAGCTTCTCTGTCCTGAGTTTGCAGATAACTACAAGTAACGAAGGTGAAGATATGCATTTATTTTTAGTTGTGGGTTTTATCTGCAGGAGCTCTGCTCATGCAGTCCATATTCCGTGCTGATGAGATATGCCTGTGTTTACGGCTCAACTTCTGAATTTGTTGCTAGAATGTGAATATAATGTTAAGGAAGACTTTCCATCTACAATGCAGTATTTCTTGTTTGACCATATAGATATCATAGGAGGGAAAGTGCCCAGTAAGTCTTACCATTTGAAGCTGCAGGCTAGGATGCTTGCTTCTGAGTAGATTCAGCATCCTGGTGGTGTTCCAAAGATGTATCTTTTTCTGCCACTGAACCTGTTTGAGCAGGAAGCTTTATGTTTCAAGGACTGAATCCTTCTCCAAGCAAATCTGGTCAATTCCACTCTTGGGAAAAGAGCTTTGCCCTTTTCCTTAAAATGAAATTGTCCAAGATAGCAAGTTGGTAAGAACGGAAAACGGACATTTGTATTTGTGGTTTATATAAAGGGGTGACGAAATAGCTGTTCAACAGAGATAAAAGTGGCTGTCTTATAGAAATGGAAAGAGTAAAACTGGACACTCAGGTTTTGTAATGGGAGCAGCTCAAATGTGATCTTCATCTCTGTCCCAGGTTATGACATTTTCCAGCAGGATCCCCTCAGCAACATAGTGAGTGCCCAGCCAAAGCTGCCTTCCAACACAGCCTCGGAACCAACGTTGCGTCAGGGCTGCTTCTACCTCCTTGTGTTTGTTCCCATCACATGTGCCCTACTGCAGCTCCTCAGCTGGTCACAATTCAGCCTACATGGCAAACGCCTCCAGATAGTGAAATCTCAGCGTCAGACCTTGACAGACAGTCAGTCCCAGGACATCAAAACAATTTAATTGCCAGTAGGGGTGTGCAATGAGTGGTGCCTCCCACACCCGCACCATGGACATCTGCATGATAAGACTCCAAAAAGGAGGGCAGGAGTTTTAACAAAGAAGAACAATTATTACATTAGCATGCCAGCATGGAAATAGTGGAAGCCCTGAATTCCCTGCAAGTCAAGTCTGTGTATGGTTAACCTTAAGAGCTCATGGGGACCGGAATGTTTGCATCTCCTGTCTCCAGCCCAAGGTAGTCCAGAAAAAGTCATCACATTGCCTTTACAAAGGGGGTAAAACCCTTGGTCAAGAATAACTTGCTGATCATGTCAGTATTCATTTTCATAAGTGTCTGATTTGGAAGAAAAGTTAACTGGTGACAGAAGGAGGTGCAGGGAGTGTTTAAGTGAGCTAGTTAGCCCAGTAGCAACCTTGTCATTGAACCTTGTTCTTTCTGGAACTGTGGGCACCCTTGCCCTGGGTGCAGGGGGTGGGGGATAGGATTCAAGTTTTTCCCCTTATTTCCCCTCTTTGCATTAGATCTGAGATACCTCTTTCTTCCCCTGCCTCCTGCTCACATCCTAGTGTGATTTAACTGTGAATGCAATTAAAATCTCTTCAGAATGTCACTGGTTCTTCACAGAGGACAGCAGGGTACTTGGACTTGCAAATGAGGTTTACTTGTGGGGAAATTATGCTGTTGTAATTCATGAGCTTCAAGAGAGGAGTGTACTAAATTAAACCACAGCAACAATTTGTGTTGAAAGGATGGTGAGGGGCTCTTTTATGGGAAGGGCTCTGTGGCCATTCTCAAGTTTCGATGTGTCAACTCGTCAGATGTGTTCTGGCTTAGAGTTTTCAGGAACTATTACAACTGAACCTTGACTTTTGTGGGTTTAACTTTTGCAGATTTGATTATTTGTGAGTTTGCCATCAATAATTAAACAGGATTTTTTTGGAGTTTTGCAGCCTTCTGTGAAAAATTGCAGAAGATATGTTTAGAATAGAAAATGTAAAGCAAACTAAAAAAAAATGTCATATGCAAGGAGCCACGCATGTGCTTGCACATGCTGAAAGCCAAGTGCCTGGAGGTGGCTGGGAGGCCTGGTCTACCAGACCCTACCCCTGTGCTGCTGCACTTTCCACAACCTGGCACCTGCCCACCGCCATGTATCAACTATGTAGGCTAACATGCACACACAAGGGAGCAGCAGTCCATTACACATATGGTCAACAGTATTAAGAATTAAGCTGTTTTGGGGGGTGGGGGTAGAGATATCCATGGTTTTTCCACTTTTGCAGGAGTCCTACATCCCTAACCTCTGTGAATGTAGAGGCACAACTGTATTTTCTAGGATGAAAGACTGGCCTCTTGTAGGAGATGCTCTTCTTTTTTTTCTGCTTTATCAGGTATTAGCATCTAAGGCAGGAAATTCCAAGGGCAACTTGATATGTTGACTTGTGGATCTGTTAATGTTTTAAACCTGGGCTTCAGTTTCCCCATTCCACATGAGCGGAGTGATTTGCTGGCCCTTGTCTGTCCACAGAACTGACTAGAGGAGCCTTCTGCCAGATGAGAGGAACCATAGCCTTAATTAACTGGGAAGGCTGGCCCCAAGTTCACAGAATGGCGTAGGTTGACAAGATGGTGCTTGTATGCACATATCTGATAGAAAAAGATACTTCCAGGGAAATGTTCTGGCTAGGAAAAATGGAGGCTGCTAGTAGGAATGTCTCCAAAATCAGCTTCAAAGAAGTATGTGTCATAGGAAATTGTCTGTCAGCTAATCAGGAAGATTAGCTTGCATGCAAATCATGCCTCAAGTAGGAGGGACACTTATGTTGTAATTCCCTTGGCCTGCTAGACATGTTAACGCACTAGTTTTGTTCTATCTCTGGAACTCAGAAAGGGCAAGCTGAGATCCTTGTGAAACTTCTGCTCCTTTAACAGTTGCGTTTTTTTCCTGATGAGTTACTGGTGTGAGAAGCTAGGCTTCCTTGAAGAGATTCCAAATTCCAGTTTTGGATTACCTATAGGGAACAGAGAACCACATCCTGTCCTCAGACAGCAGTGGACCAGGAAGGCAGCTGGCTGTACTTGGGTTTGGATGCAAGGGTTCTGGCTTTTCCAGCTGATTTAACTGGAAAGTTTTATACTCCTTTAGAGTTTTAGGGAGAGAAATGTGGCAACCCAAGTTCTTGCTCTTAGAATGAGGAAGCTTTTGACTGCTCTTATGGAGAACAAGAGATTCAGAGTTCCTTGGGACCAAACTTCATCCTTCTCTTTGAGCACTGAAGCAAGTATGCCTCCAAATTTGTTCAGGCAGCAGTTGCACTGCCACTGTTTACAGTATGAAGGGTTTTGTATCAGTAATATATTCTTATTTAAAAAGCCAAGTCCTCATTTCATTAAATTACAATTCTTTTTATGCTATTTTCTGTGTGTACCTGTTAATGATTTTTACATTGATGCATTACTGTGTTTTCATCCTGGATGGTCAGTCTGATTTTGTAAATGATCTCTCCCTGGACATGTGGAAGGTAACCTTAACTTTAAGCATCCAGGTCCAGCAGGGAAACCCACACCACTCCTCATGGGGAAGAGTCCAGCAACAGTGAACACTTCCATCTAATGTGAGCTCATGGGTCACTGAGGAGGTTGCCATGGCATTCTCCCCGGGTTGAGGTCAGCAGACAGCAGCTGCTGACTGCAGAAGGGACATGACCCTATCAGGCAGAGCATGGTCAACAAGATGTTATCATCCCTTGCACAGCCTGTCTTCGAAAAAGGCAAGGGTGTGTGTATATAAGGCATCTGAGCTGAAAGCTGCTTTTAGTTACATGGGTACCACCACCTCACTGGAAGCGTCTTTGAAATGGCATGAAGCACAATGGGAAGTGCATCTGGATGTGTGGTGGCAGTCCCCTTGTCTGCCTGCCCTCTTCTTCCTCCCCTATTCCCATGAGGCCATGCCAGATTTGACCTGGGAACACAATGCATAGGCCCTTAGGTCAGCCAAAGAGAAGGGAGTACAGGACAGAGAGGGTGAATACACAGGTAAGAAAAGGAGGAGGTTCACATGACTGAATAAGCCATGAAACATGGAAACCACACAATAAGCTGTTGTTTCTCCCCATGGTTCCACAGAAGCATATGTACCATGTGGTAAGTCCTGACATGGTCACACCACAGACCATACCATGATGGAAACCACTATGGCTTGTCATTATGTCTGAATGTAGCCAGTGTGTTGTATGTTAATGTGCACACAATGCTGCCTTCAAACTGAAAAGATGGTGTACCCTTGTTACTTGAAAAATGACTGTTTGGCTTAAGATTCAAGAACAATAATCCACTCTCATACATACTGGGAAAACCATGATTCCATTAAACAGATACCATATTGTATATTAACAACTTTATTTAAGTACTTTGGGCAACACCCAGCTGTGGCTTGCACATATGTGCAAAATAGAATCAGGCTGATGGAACCAATACTAGGTTGTAGAAAGCACCTGTCAGATTCAAAATATAACACTGCTGCTTCTGATAACTGATTTCAAAGCAAGGAAAAAGTCATGAGGAATTGAAGGGTTGGGGAACAGGAGCTAACAGTTGTTGTTTTACACATGGACCTTCTTGTCATCCTGTAGTGCTGTAGAAATGGGCTATACTAAGCTAGTAGTTGTTCGCTGCCCCCTCTACCAGTACAAGCTGCCATGCGTTGACCCTTGTTAACTATTCCCCCATGACTGCAACTATAATTAAGTGTATAATGCCATGCATATTTAGATGGATATAGTCTCACAACTCCCAGCATGCCCCATCAGCAACTGGCTGGGCAATGCTGGGTGCTGTGGCGCTTCTTTCTTTCTAAACATGCATAGGATTGTGCCTTAAGTTTCCTTTGTTTCCAAGCAATTATAAAGGGAGACTAGTAGCTCTACAGGTGGAAATTAAGGAAGAACCAAGGCATCTGTAGCCAAGTGTTGGCATGCATTTCAAACATGAGTGAGCTCAAACAAAACATAACATCTTTATAAGGCATGAAATATGAACCAGTTTCCCTTATCTATAGTGGAAGGTCCTCCATAAAATGTCTCAGCTACCCTGCCTTGCCAATGGAGAAGCTAGTAGTCAGGACTACTCCCATTGCTAACTGATCCACCACTCAGGTTATCTCTGGTCCTGTACTTCGGCCTATCATTCTTTGTAGAACAACTTGAGCCTCAACCTACTGTAAAATGAGGGTCCAAGTAAAGAATCTGGTAGCACACTGATTTCCCATTCAGATCCGATCCCAAAGCAGCAAAAGCAAACTTGCTCCAGCCAGGGCTCAAAACTGAGGCAGTTCAAATCAAAAGGAATCAGCAAAGCGATCATATTTTAAATGGTCCCAACAGGGATGCAGTGAGTCAAAGCTGGGTCTGACTTCACTCAGATCAGTTAGATACGGTGTTAATTTCAGGGGAAACTTATTTTCACTTTAAATGAAAAAAACTAAATGATTTCTTCAATCAAGTGGTATTAATGCAACTGCTGTATGAGAAGGCTACTAAAGCAACAAAGGAGGGTGTATTCTCCTGGCAGTGCGAGCTGACTTAGAAGCTCAAGATACAGCTGAGATAAGCAAACCCATAATAGGTACATTGCAAAATTACTACAAGAAGTCATGCAAAAATGCAGAGGAATTTTTCACTCCTGACTGTTAGCATGAAACACAATTTTGTCAAAAGGTCATGCTCTTGTAAATGCAGGGTACCTTCATGTCCACTATCAGTGTTTTGACCAATCATTTCCTCCCGCACACTTAGAAACTGCTCTGTCCTACCTTTCAATTGCTAAATCAAAATTGCAGCTTCCAGGAAACTTTACAATGCATTGCCTCTGGGCCACATTATTTAGAACTAAAGAAAAGGAAATATTGCTGAGATCCCAACTGGTGCTCATCAATGGAACAATTACCACTCTGTCTGAGGGCATCCCCCTTGCAGGAAGAGGGCAAGAAAGGTCCATGAAGAGGCATAAATCCTAAATGGAGCAGGGTATAAGCATATTGCTCTTCATTTATATACCTCAGATATGCCTCTTTTGTCTCCCAAGCACAAGCCAGGTATTCTATCACACAGCCTGAGTGTTTATTTGCAAGATTTTATACTGGCTGTTATTTTTTTCCAAACACTGTAGGGATGTTAGGTAATACATAATAATGCACTGTATTCTATTACCATTCTACAGGAAGAGCTATATGATATTTTACCTCCTTAAGGCTGAACTTGACTCCTGATATTGTAAACCCTGAAATAGGTAGAATGCTGCCAGAATGCCAAATTGCCTACTTCAGTCCCAAAGTCATATTCTGAGAATACTGATGACCTAAAGGCAAAACAAAGAGTTGCAAAGAAAATTCAAGTGCACCACATTCAAAATACACCGACAGTAGCAAACAGGACTACATTTTGCCACCACTTCCTTGGATAGCTTGAGTCTGGGTTGGCTACTGGTAAACAAGGCTCATTTCTTGCTGTCTCATCTCCTAATACTTAAGCAGTCAACCATGTAAAATATTTGGTTTTCAGCAGCAGCATTAAAAAATTAAGCACCAAAATACGTATTTTTAAAAACAACAAAACAAAATTCAAAGCAGATGATTTTTTCCTTCCTGTAACAGAACAGAAGCAGCCGAAGGGGTTAACACAACCCTGGAATTATAACCAACCTCCCTCCCTCTAGAGGTTAGTTTATTGTTCCCTTAAGGGCTGCATTCATGGAAACATTCACTCCAAATGGAACAGGGTATTTTTGAGTGGGGCTAACCCAACAGTACTAAGCAAGTATGTTGTTTAAATGTCAGTGCTAGTGTTAAACAATGGAAATATCATATAGCAGGACAGAGAGTGTGGGGGGAACTAACCCTGGGGCCAGTTAGTAGTTTAGCTACCACTAAAACTTGTCAATAAATAAAATAATGCTAAAACAATTACATAGTTTCCCAGCAAGCATGGCTGAAGAGCTCCTTGTGCAAAGGGTTGTGACATGGACATAAACCCTTTAAGAAAGAATTAATAATGTAAACCCTTAGATTACATGAGAGATTAGAATGGGGACAGAGGGAGAAGAGACTAGGCCATGATACACTATGGAGTCCCCTAGACACTTGGCTGCAGGGTAGGTGACTGTCTCACTACAGGATGCCAAGACAAGGACTATCTAGAAGAGAACAAAGGAAGGGTGATTCTGTTCTACACCATGCATTACAAACTATTTCCTAAAATTAATTGCTCCAACTGTCCCGTTGTGGTCCAAATTCTCATGCACACATACACACTGCAGTAAACGGGTTTGTAACAGCTCAGAATGTGCTTATTCTCTGTTGTGTATTGTTAAAAAATACCAGTAAGGGAGGGAAGCAATGAATCGGCCATCTACAAAATTGCTGAGCAACTGGGAAGCACTAGATAAAGTCAGCTTCTGTGCACAGAGGTTCCATGACAGACTTCAACCTGGCCCATGTTCCAACTCAGACCATCCACTGGGAGCCCAAGCACTGGCTGGTTTACTGCACTCTTATTTCCACCTTGCTAAGCTGCTCAGTTTCTTACCCATACTATTTAATTTTCATGACACAAATGTACTCCCATAAGTTCATGGGCCAACTGAAAAAGAAACAGATCCTTCAAAACATTTCTATTCCTATTTCTCGCCTTCCTCCCACAAGATCGATCAAAAATTAAGTCAAAGCCTTGGCCTTCCTTTTTGCTCTGCTAAAGAAAGTCCATGGCATGGCAGCACCCATCGACCCATACACGCACACACATACAAACAGGGAGCTCCTCAGACACTCAGAAAAGCGAGTTGAGAACAAGAATGAGTCCACAAAGAGACCCCAGAACACTCCTGGCTTAGAATGTTTTTCGGTGGATTGCCCGGGAACTGTCTTCCTCATATTCTTTCTTGGAAACCCACATTTTCTTAAATGTATCCAGGGAAGCCAGGATAGAGCCTCTGTGGAAGAACCAAACACAGGAGTTACCCACACTTGGAGACTGGCTTTTCCCCTGCCCCCCTTACTCCTACAAAAACTACTAAAGCATTATTTTCCTTTAAAAATTTTAAAATAATCACATGCTTTATATGGGGATGCCTTTGAAGATGGTCCGGATACTTCAGTTGGTTCAGAATAGCCAGAACCAAGCCAGAATATTAATGGGGACCAGCAGATATGCACATATAACGCCGGTCATTTACCATCTACACTGGCTATCAAGTGAAGTCTGGGCTCAATTTAAGGTGCTGGTGATGATCAATGATGAAGCCCTAATTGGCTTAGGACCTGGACATCTGAAGGAGCGTCTCCATCCCTATGTGCCTGCTCCCCCCTTAAGGTCTGGGTAGGAAGTACTTCTTTGGGAGCCCTCTTTGAAGATTAGGAGAGTGGCTACCCAGAGAAGGGCCTTCTCTGTGGTGGCACCCCAGTTATGAAATATGTTCCCCAGAGAGGTTTGCCAGGTGCCGACACTTTACTATTTTCGGCACCAGGCCAACCCCTTTTAATTTTCCCAGCATTTTAAATTGTCATCTTAATGGGATTTTATAGAAGATGATGTTGTGCTTTACTTATTTTATTGCAAGAATGTCCTGAAACTCTTGGTAAGGGGATGGTATAGAAAAGTTCAAGGGGGGGGGGTTGTTCTGGAGAATTGGATGGTCCTTTGCAGGTGCCTTAACATGACAGCAGACAAAATGGTTAGCTTTTCTCACACGTGTTGTGCAGCATCCCTGGAGTTGCTAAGGATAAGAGTGGGCTCCAATATGCCCAACTAATTCTGTATGAAATATGTACCCTACAATATGCCCAAACACTACAGCACAGAGGAGTTCTGCAGCAGACATGCATCTGTTCCCCAGCAGGCAAGTTAATGTTTCCTTTATGAAACGTGGTTTCTTTATGAAAGGGAGTATGTAAAACACTGTACTTCAGTTAGCAGCTACCTGCCTTGCTGGAGTACCACACATGCATCTTACTCAGGCTTTCACTGCCACATCATCAGGAGGGGGTGCAGCTTTATCCTCCTAAGAGCCACCACATCACTTGCTTTAGCAATCAATTTTGCACACAATATGGCTACAGCCCAAATTCTCCCCCTGCACTGTATACAAAAAATTTCTTTTATCAATCAGTCGGAGCAAACAAGACTAACATTTCTGCTACAACACAAGTTATGCTTTACATACCCGATCCAGGTAGAATATAACCTCTCCTGAGGAGCAGATATCTGGGGAATTTTAAATAAAAGAGACACTAAGAAAGAGGTGGATTTAGAGGGAAGCAGCATTCCTTTTCCATATACTAAGGTCACATCAATCTTCTCTGACATGTCTTTGGAATATCTTGCTGCCATCCCCAGGCATGTTCTATCCAGGTGGCTTGGAATCTAAAATGCTAAGCATCAGTGCTGCAGTCCATCCAGTGAGGTACCTTTCAGAAGCCTATACAAACTTCATTTGGAATACAGCCAGTTTAGGAGAAACCCCTTTATTTTGCATCAGAGGAGGTGTTTGGGGGACCATCCACCTGGATTGGATCCCTGAATCTTTCATTTGGAGACTATGTGCCCTGCCCTGCTGTTCCTGAGCACAGGAACATGGGCCTGATGTTTTGTGTTGCATCTGATCCCTTTAGGCATGTTTCACCTCCTGCAGAAACCCCACTAAAAAGAACTACCTACCCTGATTTTGACATCCTTGGGGGCCAGTTTCTTCACCTCGCTCAGAAGCCTGTCACCAAAACCTGAACCAAAGACAAAAGTCAGCCTCAGTTTAAAAACAGCAGAAACAATTCTGGCTCTTCCCAACCTGATGAAGGTACTGCACCCCCTCTCCAAGAGAGTAGTGGGGTGCAATGCCTTTGTACATTTGGTTCTCAGGGAGGGATAGTGAAACTCTCTCCTCTCACTTCTCTCCCCACCTTGCAGCCTGTACTGTGATTAAAAAGTAGCCTCTGGTCTATATCATAACTGCTGCTGTTTGCCCCCCAAGTTCCTCATTCAAAGAAAATCTGAACAAGCTTCTGAGTCATTAGGATGAAAACTAGAAACATTTCCTTACTATATGGAAGAGTATTGTCTGAAATGACATCAATCTATCAATTTCAGATAGGTGATGCAATGGGAGAAAAGAAATTATTAGAACCGGCTCGCAACAATTGTGCTTCTTTAGTATTATAAAGGGGACATGATTATTTATTTATTTATTTATTTAGGAGACTTCTATGCCACCCCATTCACCGAAGCCTCGGGGTGGCTCACATCCATAAATAAACTTTCATAGAATAATATAAATTAACAGTATAAATTAAGTCGCCCTGGCCAAAGAATAAAATGAATAAATACTATTAACAATTAAAATGACAATTGAATAAAAAGGTCTTCGCCTGGCACCAAAAAACAAATAACGACGGTGCCAGGCGGACCTCTCTGAGGAGCGCATTCCATAGATTGGGTGCCACTGCAGAGAAAGCCCTCCTCCGAGTACTCACCCTCCTAATTTCCTTCACAGAGGGTTCCTGGAGAAGGGCCTCTCCCGCAGATCTCAAGGGGTGGGCAGGCATATATGGATGTAAGTGCTCCTTCAGGTAACCAGGACCCAAGCCGTTAAGGGCTTTATAGGTCATCACCAACACCTTGAATTGGGCCCGGACTTCAATGGGAAGCCAGTGAAGCTGACAGAGGACTGGAGTCATGTGAACATAACGCCCAGTCCCCGTCAGCAGCCTGGCAGCGCTATTTTGAACCAATTGAAGTATCCGGACTGTCTTCAAGGGTAGCCCCACGTAGAGCGCATTACAGAAGTCAACTCGGGAAGTCACCAACGTGTGTGTCACTATCGCCAGGCAGTCGTACTCCAGGTAGGGGCGCAGCTGATGGATCAGCTGAAGCTGAAAGAAAGCGCTCCTCGCCACCGCTGTCACCTGAGCTTCCAATGATAGCTCTGGGTCGAGGAGCACTCCCAAGCTGCGAACCTTGTCCCTAAGAGGGAGTGCAACCCCATTCAGGACTAGGTTCAATTCACCCTCCCCGAAGCCCGATCCGCCAACCAACAGGACCTCCGTCTTGTCTGGATTGAGCTTCAGTTTACTGGCCCTCATCCAGCCCATTACCTCAGCCAGGCACCAGTTCAGCACAGTCACTGCCTCACCTGGATTGGTAGAGCTGGGTATCATCAGCGTAATGATGATTCCGAAGCCCACACCTCCTGATGACCTCTCCCAGCGGTTTCATGTAGACGTTAAACAGGAAAGGGGACAAAATGGACCCCTGCGGTACTCCATGGCATAGCTGCCAAGGTGCAGAGCCATAGTCCCCCAGCACCACCTTCTGGAATCAGCCATTGAGATAGGAGCGGAACCACTGCAAAGCAGTGCCTCCGACCCCCAATCCCGCTAGCCTATCCAGAAGGATACCATGGTCGATGGTATCGAAAGCCGTTGAGAGGTCCAGAAGAACCAACAGGGACGCACTCCCCATCCTTCTCCCTGCACAGGTCATTGTACAGGGCGACCAAGGCAGATTCAGTACCATACCCGGGTCCGAAGCCGGACTGAAATGGGTCCAGATAATCAGTCTCATCCAAGAGTGCTTGGAGTTGTCCTGCCACCACCCACTCCAACACCTTGCCCAGAAACGGGATGTTGGCCACTGGTCTATAATTAGTGGCCATCTCTGGATCCAGTGATGCTTTCTTCAGGCCCACTCGGACTACTGCCTCCTTTAAAGGGGCAGGTACCCGACCCTCCCTCAGAGAAGTGTTAACCACTTCCAAGATCCAGATCCCAATCCCGTGCTTGGCGTTGTTTATTAACCAAGATGGGCAAGGGTCCAATAGGCAAGTGGTGGGACATACTCGTCCAAGCACCTTGTCCACATCATCAGGCTGCAATAACTGAAATTCATCCATTAATTTTGGACCAGATGGCGACATTGGTATCTCCTCAGAAGCCTCTGAATCACTAGTAGAGTCTAGCTCATGACGAATCTGAGCAATTTTCTCCGTGAAATGCTTGGCAAAGTCGTCAAAGCGGGCCTTCGAGGGTGGAACCAGATCTTTCTTAGGGCCAGGGCAGACCAGGCCTTGTACCACTCAAAAAAGCTCCGCTGGACGGCATTTTGAGGAGGCGATGGAAAAGGATTTCTTTTTCGCCGCCCTCACCGCCACAGCATAGGCCCGATAATGGGCTCTTAAATGTGTTCGGTCAGATTCATCCCGTGATCTCCTCCACCTACACTCTAGCCATCTCCCAGCCTGCTTCATCGCCCGCAATTCAGGTGTATACCAAGGGGAAGAGTGGGCTCTGCCTCTCCTAAGGATGCTTAGGAGAGATCATGTCAACAGCCCTAGTCATCTCCCCGTACCATAGTTCGACCAGAGCCTCGACAGGAGCACCAGTCTTGTCACCCGGAAACTCCCCCAGGGCCTTCAGGAATCCGTCCGGATCCATCCGGCTATGTGGGCGGACCCACACAATCGGGTCCACACCCTTATAGAGGGAGAGGCCGCTCTTGAGCATAAACCTCACAAGGAAGTGATCTGACCATGACAGGGGTGTCAGACATAAATTCCTCACCATCAGACCACCCTCTTCCTGCCCCGTCGAGAAAACCAGGTCCAGAGTGTGTCCACATTCATGGTTCAGGCCTGTGACATGTTGAGACAGCTCCATGGCCATCATGGAGGCCATGAAGTCCTGAGCCGCCCCAGTCAGACCAGTCTCGGCATGGAGATTGAAGTCCCCCAGGACCAACATCCTGGGGGTCCTCAATACCAGGTCTGAGACAATCTCCGTCAGCTCAGGCAGGGAGACTGTTGGGCAGAAAGATGAACGGTACACCAACAGAATCCGCAATCTGTCTCGATCGCCCAACACCAAGTAGAGGCACTCCAGCCCTGGTCTCGAAGGGACTGGAAGACCCGTGAGGGAGATGGAGGCTCGGTAAACCAAAGCGACCCCCCCTCCCCTCCCCTCCCCTCCAGGCATGGACAGTGCTGAACCAGATACCCGGGCGGGCACATTTGAGAGAAGGCGACATCCCCTCCCCTCTCCCGCCCAGGTCTCTGTTATGCAAGCCAGGTCGGCCCCTTCATCCACAATCAAGTCATGGATGAGGGAAGATTTATTGTGGACCGACCTGGCATTAAGCAGCAGCACCGTCAGGCCCGAGGGGCGGTTGACAAGACCACCTGTCCCTCCTTCTGGTTCTGCCCCCAGCCAGAGGGTTCCAGGTAGTCT